TTGAATGGAATTTCAACTATAAACCTGCCATTGCTTAGTCTACTGATGGTATTCTGTAGGAAATGCTCTTCGCACAATTTCTCTTCTTCGGAAAAAGCTTTGTCAGGAAATATCTCTTCGATTTCCCAAAAACAAGCTAATTGGTTCTGAATGCCAGGGTTGTGAGTGAAATGACAAGAAACTTTTTTCGAGAATGATTTACTAATGCCCTGAAATGACCCAACCAAGTTGAGTTTTTTTGTAAAGTTGGGTCGTTACGCCCCAGAAAAATTTGACCTACACATATTAAAGAATAGAAGTGATCCGCTCATATCAACATATTCAATTCAACTGGGATCTGCAAGATATATGTCATGTGGAATATTTAGTCTAAAGTGGTTTGATATTTTTGTATGCGGCAATTCATGATTTGCGGAAGTATATAACAGTGAATGTTTGTACGAAAAGAATTGTGTTGAATCAAGATCAATAACCGAATCAGAATTCATAGCAGCATCTGATGCCGCTCAAGAAGATGTGTGGATATGCTCATTTCTGAAAGAACTGGAAATTGTCATCGAAGAATTGACAGTATTTGTTTGTCGATAATCATCAGTTTGGTTTAAAATCGAAAACACCATAAAAGAACCAAACATATTGACAAAATGTCATTATATGAGAAAACAAGTGAGGAATGGTTTGCTTTTTCTTATCATATGTGTGTTCAGAGGAACGTTAACCAAGCCGCCCTCAAGAATGAAGTTTTTGAAAATTAGAAAGTCACAATCTATTTTTTCAGGAACGTGAACAAATTCATTATGATGTTAATTATAGTTTTCATAGAAACCATGAATGTAACGTTTTCGACATATAAATAAAGTTTGAATATTATTTTCACCAATTTTCAAATCTGCAAAATTCAGTATTTTCTGCTGAATTCCAAAAGTAATCTGTAGAGTGAGCTCTGTTTCGTGTTGTGACGAAAATTTTTGTGAGTTTCGTCTGTTTTCATGTATGAGACTCACTGTCTCAAGTACATAAAATTGATATGAAATTTTTCCCAGTTCATGCGAGATCACAATTGAATGAGTATGATGCCATATTCTCAAATCTTAAATCTGTTCAACATTATACAAGCTGTTTCTTTCTGTTTTATTGGGGAATTTTGGTGTTTTCCCAATTCATCATATGAGCATCATCTCTTGTCAAAATATGATCTACTAATTACATTTTCTTATATACCAATCCGAACGAACACTAGAATAATACAAGAAATCGAGATATAAGAAAATTCAAATTAGCAGAGCATATTTTGACAAAATTCTGAAGACAGAACTCAACAAAAGTAAAAGGATTCTGGATCATAATCAATTTCAATCGTATATGGCTATCTCTCCTGAAATAATAAAGTAATTGATCTGGAAAAATTTCATGCTACGTAAAATTCAACATCCACTGCACCAAATAATTTAAGAGAAAACTTCGTTCAGGCCAGTCTCAAATTACCTACATAGGTTAATGGATTGACACCTATCAGAAACGTGGCTAATACCACGAAGGGCATTGGATTATATCCGACAAAAAGAACAGAGACAGACAAAGGGAAGAGAGGCAGTTCCTGAAACTTCATCCAAAACGGAAAGAGGAGAGAGAAAACTCATAAACGCCAGAATAATCTGTCAAATATGGTTTATATATTTTTCTTGACATACTCATCACAAAATTGTATGAATTTTTCCCTTGTGTATGTAGGTATGTAAACAGTGATTTATCACATTGCTGGTTCTAGTATAGGGTCTTCCAACAGGACTTCCAAACTTTGATAATTGATAACTGTCGTCTTGTTATAGCTACGTCTGTCAAATTAGTTGTCATTTATTCAGTCTGTTTTGTTAAATCACCATGGACAAAAACACGTGCGAATAATAAAACTGTTTTATCAAAATGGATGTTCTGTTAGGGAAACGTGCGCGCACGCTTCGCCCATTTTACTGTAGTCATAATCGTCCTGCGGAGAGGACTATTAGGAATGTGGTGGATAAATTTGAGTCCACTGGTTAAGTACGTGGTTTCCTCTTCAAGGAACAGGTGGTTTTTAATTTGATAATACAATGATATATCATTGAATCTACTATATATTGTTTGTCTGTAACGTCCTGAGTTTCACCATAGTAATTTTTCATATATGTTACGTCCATATTTCATTCAACGTGCCATATAACTTCACATACACTGTAAGTTGTTTTTGAATTATTATTTTATAAATATGACTGTCTTTTACCCTTATTGTAGCATCCTTGATGTTTAAGGTTATCTGTATTTTGATACATGATACTACAGAAAATTTTCAAAATGTTGGCCAGCACTTGCCACACATG